CCCCAGGGAAACAGCAGTATCTTCTTTGTTGCTGCCTCTCCTGCAGGCTAATTAAATATTTTAAATAAACTAATGCATCTCAATCACCACACAGCAACCCTCAGAAGGGCCCCCTTGGGGGCCCCCTGCTGCAGGGCCAACACGGGGGGCCCCGGGGGCCCCTGGGTACATAGGGGGCCCCCATGCTCAGGAGTTCTCTGCTTTCGATCCCCCGCTGCACCTGCATCTGCAGCAGCAGCAGCAGCAGCAGCAGTAGCCCCGGGCGCGCCGCCGACGGCGTTCACTTGGTGGGCCCCCAGGGGCCCCCGTGCTGCTAGGGTATGGGGGCCCCCATGGGGGCCCCCATGGAGGCCCCCACATTGTGATGAGGAAGGGGGAGGGGCCGCTAGGCAATTGGCTGTGTTAACCTCCTTCAGGGGCCCCTTAGGTAGCAGCCGCTGCAACAGCAGCAGCAGCAGCAGCAGCAGTAGTAGTAGCGCAGGTCACAGGGACAGCGGCAGCAACAGCAGCAGCAACAGCAGCAGCAACAGTAGCAGCAGCAGCAACAGCAGCAGCAGCAAAGGTAACAGCGATACAACAACGCCCCGCAGCAGGCGGAAGGGGACCGCCTACCTGCCGCCACCTGATTTGTTTGCGTCTAAGCATCTGCTGCAGCAGCAGCAGCTGCAGCAGCACGTGCAGCAGCAGCTGCAGCTGGAGAGGGAGAAGCAGCAGCAGCAGCAGCAGCAGCAGAAAAGGAAACAGCGCATATATCTTCACCCCGCAGTGCAAGGCGCCAGAAGGCCCTCTCCTGCTGCTAAGCTCGGTGCTGCTGCTGCTGCTGCAGGAGCAGAAGAGAGGTCTGCTGCTGCTGCTGCTGCTGCTGCTGCAGCAGCAGCAGCAGATGGAGCAGCAGCAGCTGATAACAGTCTTGTTGCACTGGATCAGTGCGACATCGATGGCCTCGATAACAACAGCAGCACCGACAGCAGCAGCAGCAGCAGCAGCAGCAGCAGCAGCAGCAGCAGCAGCAGACGGGGCCTCTTATGCAGGGCCCTGAAGGCCTCTCTTGCTGCCCAGGGGATCCGATCCCTCACCGAGGTGCAGCGAAGGGCAATACCACACATCCTTGCAGGTACAGCAGCAGCAGCAGCAGCAGCAGCAGCAGCAGCAACAGCAGCAGCAGCGGCCGTGTTGCCATCCCCCTTTCCCCTGCAGTCTGCTGCACAGCTAGCTATGGCTAGCTGTAGCTAGCTGCGGCTATCCATGGCTAGCTGCGGTTATCTAGCTGGCTGTGGCTAGCTAGCTAGCCACAGCTAGCTAGCTAGCCGTGGCTAGCTAGCTAGCTGTAGCTAGCTGAGGAGCAAACAGCTGTAGAGGGAACGGGGTAGTGTACATGCGCCTGAGATAGTCTCCATCGCCCTCTGTGTTGCTGCTGCTG